TGTAAGTACTTCTGAGGAATCATTCATTGCTCTTTTATTGAGAGACAAGCAGTAAGAAGGTGTTTTGTTGATATGGGGTTTAGGAGCTGGTGTTAGTCTTTATTTAATGAGCTAGATGATACAGAACAGTACTTGTTATGTGCTAAATCTGTCCCTTATCTGCCTGTTAAAACTTTGCCACTCTCCACACCAAAAATCAAAGTTTCCATGGTGGAAAAGCTGGCTGTGGTGTGTGGCTGTGTTGATTGGAAGGGACTTCTGGGGCTCAGCTATCCAAGATCCTGCTCAGAGTATAACACTTGTTTGCCAACTTTGGCTTTGTCTATGGAGTTTTGAAAACGTCGAGAACAAAGATTATCACCTCTCTGAGTATGGCACCAAACCACCTTGCAGATGTTTTTTCTAATGTCCAGTCTGAACCTCCCAAGCTGTTACTTGTGGTTGTTGCCTCTTGTTTTGTGGTCAGTCAATACTGAGAAGAGTTTGCCTCCATTATTTTTGTAATGTGCCTTCAGCTTCAGTTGCTATTAAATTATGCCTAGGCTGCCTCTTTGTCAGACTCTAAACAAACCCAGCTCCATCACCTGCTTCTCAAACATCATCCTCAAGGCTCCAGGCCATTTTGGTGGCTCCAGGTTTTCCAATTCCTTTTCAACCTGGGGGGCTTGAAATAGGACACAGTATTTGAGCTGCAGTCTCAGCAGTGTTGAGTTTCCTTTGATTGCACTCCTCTTGGCTTTCCCTGTTTGCAATGAGAGCAGGCTCTTGGCTCATATTCAAACTGGCTACCAGTGTGATTCCTAGGTCTATCTCGGTAAGGCTGCTGTTCAACCAGTTTGTTCCCAGACTCCACTGAAGTACCCCAGGAGCAGAATTTTGCTCTTCATGAGATTTCTGTTGGCTTATTCCTCAAGTTTATCAAGGTCCATCAGAGTTGAATCTCTATTTGGCGAGTCACTCACTCTTCCTTGTTTAGTATCATCCACAAATCTTCCAAGGATTCATTCTGTCTTATCACCCCGGTTGTTGATGAAGATACTGTATAATATTGGGCCCAGTATCAACCTTTGTGGTGCTCCTTACATGCTACCAGCTGGATGCTGAGCCATCGATTGCTACCTAGCAGTCCAGCCTCTTGTCATTCAGTCTAACAGGCCATTTCCCCAACCCATGCCTTTTCAGCTTACTAATGAGACTACTGTGGGAAACCAGATCAATCCTAATCACTAAAAACTGGACTGCGTTTTCATATATTTCTGGTAGATTTATTGAACAAATGTTTGAAGTGTTAGTAACCAAGGCTATCTTTATGTAAGTAAACTTGTGTAGGTAAAATGGAGTTTCACATGCACTTCAGTCTTCCAAGGATGACTCTGTTTTCTTTGGGAGAATTCTGGTGCTGTGAAATGTGGTTTCAGTAAAATTTGACAGTGAGAAGCTCCACAGAGAGTCCTTTTTCCTTTATTTAACAGAAATAGGTGACTTTTTAATAAGTAAATAAAGCTTGTATATTTATAATGTACATATTACTCATTTAAAAGTAGTTAGGGTCACTGAGTAATTTTTTCAAGTACGTTTTACTACAGAGTCTTAGCAGCTTCACTTTTAGAAATATTGCATCTAAATCCTTTTGTTTCAAAACACTGGAATAAGCACTGCTGAGTAGTCATTTCTAGTGGCTGAACAGTGCCTAAAGCTATGAGCCTTGCATTGTTTTACAGACTTGTAAAACCTCCTCCCAAAACAGCTTAAGTTATTTTTCCTGTTTGTAGTAGTGTGTGTTTACTTTAGTTTTTCACATTATGGCACTATAAAAAAAATGTTTTTATTAACTCAACATTCAGCTAGTCCATTCCAAACCTGAAAATGAAGGAATAATCATAATTTCATCTTTCAGTCAACATGCAGAGGAATCAAGAACTTAATACTAAATCTGTTCCTTCAATGGTTTGTAACTTGCAGACTCCATTTCAGTTTTGAAACATGAAGTTAGTTTTCCACAGTTTTAAGTGCCCAAAATTAGAGTAGCCAATAGTTACTTTGATCCAAATCATGTATCTGCCTGACTGGATACAACATTTTCACGTAGCTTGCCAAAGCAGAGCCCAGTAGCATGGATCTATGATCAGACTGAATTTCCAGATGTTTTAAGGAATTAGACAATGGACAGCTTTGTCATGTGAAAGAGGAGAAAATACAGCTTTGGTGTTATGGAGCTAGAGCTTGATAATGAGAAAAGAGAAATTAAACTATTTTATGTTACTTAATTTTTCAAAGCAAATCACCTGATTCCTGGACATACAGGGTTCAACAGTGGGTTTAAAAGCCAGAGCTTTTTTGCTTTTTTGCCACTTGAAAACCATAGCAATTCTAGATTTGTTATGCCGCTGCTTCTACCAGAAAAAGCTTTCTGGGCCAGGGGGTCATGGTAATAACTTTTAGTGTCATACGCACTAATTTCATGTACATATCATCAGAATAATGGAAGCTGAGATGAGTAACAGCAGCAAGAAGTAACCAGTACCATGCAGCTCAACCAGTGCATTTATCCAGTAGGTGTTTCAGGCACAGATTTTGTTTAGCGCTCTACTTTTGATTTTGATACTCTAAGAATGCTTTTGTTTTAGACCTCTTATGAAATGAGCAAAGAGCTGAAAAAAATACACATGTTGGTATCCTGGAGGCAGGTTGGTGAAAATAAAGATTTGCAGTCATAGCTTAGGCAGGAGAAGTATTGGTGAAAATCATTAGGGGCAAAGTTTCTTCTGCTTTTCTTTGTGAAATAAATTTAAATTTGACATTGCCTTTAAGGGTTTTTTTTAATGAGATAACACTTTGAAGAGCTGTGTAGTAGCTGTGTGAGTGAAGTGCTTGAAGTTGATGCAGAGCATGGGACATCAGCCAGCGCTTTCTGATTGGAAATTGGGTTATGGGATTTCTTTTGTTGCTCACTTCTGACGCTTACGTGGAAAAATAAATCTTCCCAGTGCTATGAGACAATGAAATAAAGTGAATGGGCATAGATCAGAACAGGTAGGTCTTGTGCTTAACTCTCTGATTAGCAAGGCTAATTTTAACATAATAGCATAAGGAAGTTTATAGCCTTGTGCAGCATGAATTCAGAAAATCTGTCTGTGGCAGAGCCAAGGATTTGTTTTGTTTCTCCACCCCACCTCACCCCCCCAACCACCCCCCCGTAATTTAGATTAGTGACATCTTGGCCCGGTGTTTTGGTTTTAATTAAGCATGGTGATTAAGACTTTTTGTTTGAGAAACTGGCAAATGTTAATTAATCCTAAAACTCTACTGATATTGAACAATTCCTTTGAATTTTATAGTGTTCTTCTGTCTCTTTTCAAGTGCTAGGAGAGAGGTGTAGATATGGCAAATAGCCTTCTTGCAGAATGTCTTATGTTTCTCCCATGGATTACTGGCTTTAGGTAAAAATGTTTTTTGACGTGTGTTTCTGTATGAACACATGAAAAATACACCCACTGTGTTTAGATCTTGATAAGCATTGCTGCCTGTTTTACTAGCTTAATTGGTGTTATCTTAGATTTCCACGGTTCAAAAGCAACATTACTTTGGTCAGTCTTCTAAAACGTACTTAAGTTGAAAAATATACAGACATGTTTGGTGTTAAAACCAGCAAAAATGCCCTGCTCTGGGATAAGTATACTGAAATGATGGATAAGCTGGAAATTTCCTTTTTTATTTAATTTTTTCCACCCCTCTGGATAAGCAGTAAAACGTCATGACACACATCATTTGAATAGAAACTGGTGAACAAGTGTAAGTGCTTGCTCTGTATTTGATGTCAAATAAAGCCAGGTAGTTGGACTAGACTAAGTGCTTACTGTTTGTTTTTGTGTTGTGGGTTGTTTTGGTTTTTTGGGGTTTTGAGGTTTTTTGTTTTCAAATAAACAACAACTTCTGGGTATTTTTTGGTGAGGTCAGGGTTTTTGAAAGTTACAACTTGCAAGTTGAATTGGTCATATTTAACAGAGAATGTAATGGGTGATGTGTTACACGTAGGTCTGACTGTTTCAGACAAGAGTGTGTTAGGCATCTTGTGTATTGGATATCTGGGTTGGCTTTGTCTGCTGCTTCCCTCCTGCTGTACTCATTACAGATTTCTCTGCAGCTTTTCGTGTTGGAATTTTTTTTTCTTTTGTTCTGTGTTTTGGCATGGAAACAGGAAAGGCTGGACCTTCCTGCCCGTATAAACAATAAATCCAAGTAAACTAACTTGGACAGGTTCTGCCTGCCTTCCCTGAATACCATCTTTAAAAGGAAGGAAACAGCACAAGAGTGTTTTGGGTATTGATATAGGATTGCCTTCATAGTAGAGCTATTTTCTTGAAGAAATATGTAGCAGTCACAGGGCAGCTTTATTGTTTTACTGCATGAAGTTCTGGAGATACAGATTTAAAAAGTATTTTTGTGTGACCTTGTTAACTGTTGTGTTATATCATCAACTACGTAGAAGCTTCTCTAATGAATTAATACAAATGTATTCCTGATTACAGTAAGTTTTGGCAAAGTCCACTTCTTTTACGTGTTCAGAGTTGTGGATGATGAAAATGTATATCCTATTTTCATCAAATACACTGCCTGTGTTTCAGAAGACATCTGTAATTCTCATTCTTCCATTCTGTGAATTAAAGCCAATGATTTTTAGCTCATTTGTTAATTCTGTCATCATCCACACTTCAGTTCAGTGTCAGTCACAGATAATCCAACATGGCTTGAATTGTAGGTAGATGAAGTTTGTAACAGCTCCACATTAACAGTGTTGAAGAATATGTGTGCCTTGAAACATCTGGAACTGAAGTTATCTCTACGATGAAGTAGAGGATTAGTTTGTTTAGGGTTGTGCTTCTCTTTTTACTGGAAAGAAAAATTGTACCTTTCTAATAACAACTTTAATGTCAATAACGTAGCTGTCTTTAAGTTGAGCATTTTTTAGTATGCAGACTAATTTTCTGTTTTCTCTTCCCTCCAGCTGGTAAGCCTGCTGCTGATTGGAATTGCGGCATGGGGAATCGGCTTCGGCCTGATCTCTAGTTTCAGAGTTGTTGGCGTGGCAATTGCAGTAGGAATCTTCCTCTTCCTTATTGCCTTAGTTGGATTGATTGGTGCGGTGAAACATCATCAAGTATTGCTATTCTTTGTATCCTTCTAATGCATTACATGGATCACAGCCTGGTTCAAGCTACGTAAAGAACCTGCTCTGTCAGCTGAGTCTGATGTGGGAGGTGCTTCAGAAACAGAACAGAAATCCACAATCTTATTTTAGTCAAGTGCAGTCTAAATTAAACTTCTTTCCCATTTAACTTTATGCCATCTTCCTTTTTTCTCCCTTGTAATGCTCTGAAGACAGAATTATTCACATCTTCACTTTTTAAAAATCAAAATATTGTAATTTTTTGAGAGCTTTTTGTGGTGGGTCATTGTGTCACTGGTGCCTCTTACTCTGTGTTCAACCCTACACCAAGGTAGAGTATGTGAACTATTAATATTTAACAGTAGAGAAAGGTGATACTTCCAGATAGCGAGCGAGCTGGTTGTAGCTGGCAGGGGAATGCATTGTGGGTAATAGAGGCAGTCAAGAAGCACTTTCTTTTCACACCTAGTCTTTAATTGTGAATGCAGACTAGAAATGAGCACAGGCGTTCTCAGTGTACCTTGCTGCCCCTTTATGCTTATTGACACTCTGCAAGCAGTCTGTGATGCTGCCTTGCATAACAAAATTGATCTGTTTGGATGAAAAAAGATACTAATCAGATAAAATTCTTATTTTTCTGGTTGTGGTCTATGAGTAAGGAGTGACCTCCACTTTACAAACAGTTTAATTGTGTGAGATAGGCGCCTGCCTCTGAACACAGCAGGCAAATTGTGAAGGCAGTGCCTGACTTTCAAAATGTGATCTTTAGTATCAAAGTTTGTTCTCTTTATTTTGTACTGTTTCCAGATGCATTAGTCCAAAAGTGTGTGCGGCTGTGTTCCAAAAGCAATTCTCACTTTGTTTTTAATCTAGGCTAAAGTTCTGTTTTGTAATTAATGACAAGAATATGTCATTGAAGAAAAAAAAGAATTCTGAATATGCAGTACTCAGACAAGTATTTTCTTTACTACTTTATTTAAGTGAAGTTCCTAAGATGAGTCCCTAAAGCTGGAGAAATTGGCAGCAGATTTTTCTTTCTCAAAGCTCCTTTTATTAACCTCTTTGCTCATGTTGTTCTGCTAGGCAAGAAACACCTAACGCAGAAATACCAGCTATGAATAGTAGTAGCCAAAAAGAGATCATAATATGGTGACTGAGTTCTGGGAACATTATTTGGGTCATCTTTTCCACATCCAGTCAGAATTTACTTCTGTGGTTCATTCGTTTGTTTGTTTTTTTAAGGACCTATTGTTATCTAGTGAAATAAGGAATACTATTAGGCGTATGTGTTATAAAAGCAAAATGAATTTGAGAGTATATTCTTAACTACTGTTTCCAGTACATGATTATTCTTCTGCTAGTCTTTATTGTGCAGTTTTCTGTCTCCTGTGCCTGTTTGGCACTAAACAAGGAACAGCAGGTAAGAAAAGTTTCCTGACTTCTCAGTTAATCTATAACATAATACTGTAAATGTGTATGTACATACGTATTTCTATATAGTCTTCAACAAAATGGGGAGAGCGTATTTTAAGAAAAATCAGCATTATCCTTCCAAATAAGGACTAGACCTTAAGCAGTGCTTGGCTCTGGTAGCTAGAAAGAAATACATCTGGATCCTAAAATGACTTTCTGCTGTCTTTTTTTTTTTTTTTAATTGTTTTAGTTTTAAGCTTCCTGTTCCTGTCTAGGTTTATGGTGACAAGTGTAGCAGCATGATATCTTGACTATAACATGTGTTCAGCAATTTCAGATACACTGATGAAATATACAGTAATCATAATGTAAAGATGATAACACCACTGAATTGTTCTGTAACTGAAAAGGTCGTAACTACATTAGGAACAGAGGTGATTCTTAAGTGTGAAAGTAAAACCAGCTTCCATGGCTTATGGAGACTAATTCTTACTGCGTAAGAAACAGCCGAGGGTACAGTGACTAAATAATCAGCTATTACATGTAAGCACACTTCTTGTTTAAAGTCTGAGCAGTCCCAGTTCAGATTAGTTGCATGCCCCATTACTAGTGCTCTTGTTGGATTTAGAAAAAAGAGTGGAAGAAATTATTTATAACCATGAATGTGCTGCTGCTAGGTGCTGCTATTTCATTAGCTATACAGGCTGTTTGAACATTCAAGTTATTCTTTAATGTATTATCCTGTTATACTTTGGGATCCAAATGTTTTAGATGGGGACTTGTTAACTTGGCCTACTATATTGGTTTTCAATGAAATGCAAAGCAGTTCAATATGTATTTGCTTATGTCTTCTAGAGTCAACTTCTAGAGGTGGGATGGAATAACACTAAAAGTGCGAGAGCAGATATTGAGAGAAATCTGAATTGTTGTGGATTCAGAGTTTTTGATCCGAATGAAACCTGCTCCTCTGTAAGTTCTTCCAGCATGAAAAAACTTACAATTTCATTGTGTTTGTTCATGTATGTACAACTGTTTTCATAGTTGCAGACAGCAGAATTTTTAAAGGAATGTGTAAGATAGTTGTTACAATGGTACTAAGCTCTTTAGCAACTTACTGGAAACATAATCACACATCACCCTTGTACTCCATTGTCATTTATATACTTGCTTTTTTGGAGTCTTTTAAAAACTGCTAGAGTTTTGTCCATGGCTGACAGTCTTTTATAGAGCTAACTAGATGCTTTCAATCAATGAAGTGTCATCAGAAAATGGAGTGCAATTCTCTGTATCTGCTACAGGATTGTTTTAGAAGTCGCCAGTGTCAACCATGTGCACCAATAATAGAAGAATACTCTGGAATGGTGCTGAGATTTGTTGGAGGCATAGGACTCTTCTTCAGTTTCACAGAGGTGAGTGTGTAGGAGGTTAGAAAACTGAGTGCTATTTCCCTACTTTTAAGGCCTTGTTTTGTGAAACAATTAATTTTAGAGGGTTTACTACAGAAACTCTCAGTACTATCTCAAGAGTCAGATAATTAATTAGGTCAAAATTTTCCAGGCTATCAGCTTGCTTAAGTCTGCCAAAAGGAGGTATTGTCTTTCAACAGTAGGAGTTCTTGCAACTTTGTTATTTAGACTACAAACCACAACTAGATACCACATTAAAATGTGGTGCTGTAAAGTTTAAGTTTTGTCGAAAGCTAGCTATTCAGGTTTACCATTCTCCAAAAGTAAGAAGAGTGCCATTGCTTTACCTTGTTCCCCTGTTCTTCCTGCCTCCCCCTGCCTGCACACACACAGTTTTTTGGGGGTTTTTTTGTGTGCCTTCTGTAGTGCAAAGATACAGCTTCATGATGAGTGAACTGTGTTTTAAACAGCAGGTTAAAAAGGTCTTTGACTCTTTGCTTTAGTATCCAGATGACACATATACTTGCTTTATTATACTCCTGCGGCTAGTCCAGTTTCCAGAAGGTTTGTAGATACTACAGTACCAAGAGAAATACAGCAACTTAAACAGAATCTCTCTGACATCTGCCCTCAATTTCTCTACTAAAAATGTGAAGCTGCTGGGAGGGGGAAAGGTGGTTGAGGGAAATGATAACATTTGAAAATGTACTAGAAAAATAGCCTTGTAGGTAAGTGGTAGCTGTAAAATGAAACGACTTGGAGGATTAGTTTATCATTACACTAAAAACAGGTTTATGAATATTAACATGGGGGGGCAATTGAACGCTGGACATGCCTATGGGAAATATTGTGCTTTGCATTGTGGATACAGTTTTTTATATTGTTGTTCTCTCTGCTGCTAGGTATGAAATTTTTCTGAGAAAGTGCGTTCTTTTTTATAATTAAGAAAGCTGGTGTGTGATTCTGCAATTTTAGCAATAGTAAAATATCCTAAACTTGTGTAGTTCATTGTCAGGGTGTTTTGTTTTATGTTTAAAACAAATTTTGTAAAACTGACTGAAGATTGGGTGGACACCCTCTGCTTAATACTATCTTTGCTTTTTGTTTTCAGATTCTGGGAGTCTGGCTGACATATAGATACAGGAACCAAAAGGATCCCCGTGCAAATCCTAGTGCATTTCTTTGATAAGTTTATAAAGGACTGAATCTTCTCTCTGCACCCTCTACTTCAAAATACTGATTCTTCATAGTCTGATATTTCTCCATAATAGGGACTTATGTACAAGTACCCAAAAGAAAACTATTTCCATAAGAAATTTGTAGTTTTCGTATTTAATGTCCCATAATTTTCTTCTAAGAATCTGTGTCTTAAAGTAGACTGGTGCATTCAGTAGCTGGGCATAGTCAAACTGCTGCTCTGAGCTGATTAAATAACTCTGTTAAGACTTTGGTAATGGATGTGGTGAACTCATGGTATAGAGTTTTGTAGCACTACTGGCTTCTCTGGTGTCAAAAAAAAAAAAGCAAAAGTATTTTCTGCTGTATTCATTGATGACAAAAATTCACATGATTTCTCATTAAAGTGATAAAAATATATGGTGGATGGTTGGACTGTATGATTTGATTAGGCTTTAGGATGAATTCTGGTCAACTTTTTTGTCTTAATAATGGTCTCCCACTTTCCTGTTAATGTAAAAATAGAAGGTAAAGATGTTATTTTCTGTAGTGCACATAAGTGTATGTTAATGACTGCCGTAGTCTTCACCCCTCCCCTTCCCTGTTTGTTTTGGCTTTCTGGTAGCTTTAAAATTTTGTTGAGAATGGAAATAATTACTTAGTTTTTAATGGATATCTTCACTATAAGAACAATGAATGAAGAAAACCAGGAGAATGTAATCTGCAGCTGATTAACTTGAAGATTTTTTTTTTTTTCTTTGACAAGTGAATGAAGTTTGGTATTTGCACAGCATCGGAATCAATAGTGGTCTGTCATCTTTAATGTAAGAAACTTGATGTCTGGAAAGTTGTTGTACAGCTATTTTTTTTCAGATGGTGTAAAATTATTGTTGTAATAACTCAGCAGTGTATATTTCTCTGTCATCCAGCTAACAGTCGTAATTTCATGAGAGATTGAATGGTGTGTAAAAACGAAAGAAAAAAAGTAAAAAAAAAAAATGTTTTCCAGTAGTTTGTTTTCTTAACAAAAAAAAAAAAATCAAGTTAGAACAGTACATTACCCATGTAGTAAGTGTTGTCTGAGCTGAAGGAAAGCATGATCCCTCTTCCAGCCTGCCATAAAGTGGTGCATCAGCTGGAACACCAGACATCTAAACACCTGAGGTGCATAATGTTGCATTTGTTTCTAATCACACTGAATTGCAGACCTGCACTGCACCTTTTCTTCATTCAGTTGCCGCTTCTGGTGTGGTAGGCAGCTGCTGTAGCCTCTAAGATGGCTCTGCAGGAAGAAAAGGGTAAGAGTATTGAGGCCGTCTGCCAAGGAATGCAGCAGCTGAGCCAGGGGCAAGGAAGGCAGAGAGGCCAGGCGGGAGTGGGTGCTCATGCAGTCTCCCTTTACTGGGGAGATGTCTCCTTGCTCCTGCAAAGGAGGCAAAAAGAGGTTGAAATACGTGCCTTTGTTTGAACACTTTCAAACTTCCATTTGCCCAGTGCTCCTAAAGAAGGAATTGTCTCGAGGTTTTTAACGGGAAGAGCTGAACCAGAACGCGGAGGGGTGTCAAGAACTGGCTAAAGGCAGCTTCTCTTCAGGTGTAGCTGATTCTTCGACATCTGCTGTCAGCGCCATCTCCTGGTGTTTGGTTGGTGAGTTACTGTTTCCTATGATGAGAAGTATTGATGTCTGTCTTGAGCACAGACTTCTACGTTCAGTGCAAGAGCCCACTCATGTACTGAAAGACCTTAAGAGCCTTCAGACTATTACTGACGTATAATGTAAACGTACACAGCTTTTTTTCCCGCACTCCCAAGTGCTGTCCTGTTCAAGGAACTAACCAGCCATTCTCAATATGTGCCAAGAGGATGGTGATCATCTTGTGGCTGTCTTTAGCAACAGTTAATTTTCCTAGTCTAGACAGGATCTGTATTTTTTACATTACTGTAATAAATTAAAGGAGTCTTACGGAGAGGGTGCATGAAGCTTAAAAAAATACATTGCTGCTCCAATTTTCACTTTTTTTCCTAATCTCTTTTAGTGCTTAGTTTTGCATGGGTCTGGTTTCATAAATATGGTAGGTGATCCTGGACTGTAAATGTGCATCACTGACAAAATACTGAAAATATTACCACTTCAGAAACTCTGGTGTCTCAGAACATGTGAATTTGTCTTAGTAGTCAAAGGACAGATCAGTGAGTCATATGGTTTGATTAAAGTTTTTTCTATCACATTAATAATACTTTGTCCCTTCAAGATTGTGATTATTTAAAAAAAAACAAACACCAAACACAAGCCTTGATATTTACATCAGAGGTGTGGATTCTTGATTCTTAAGGGCAGCTGAATTGCATGTCTCAAGCCATTTCCAGGTACCCCTTGAGATTTTCTGGTTGGTAGGGTTCACATAGTTCGCCAAAGACATATTAGCAGGTGCCTTGCTTCTAATTTTGATGATAAATTCCCTTGAGCGGAAACCCTTGCTTCTCTTGCCTGTCCTACCTTCTGAGGTGTATTCTTCTCTTATGGTTATCATCATGACTGGTAGTGGTAACAACAGCTGACGTTGCTAAAAAGCTGAGAAGATAATATAATCCTGGGCAAAGTGTTTCTCACTGGTGCTGCTGCTGAGTTCTTACATATTTGAGGTTGGAAAATCTCCTTTTTATCTGAGTCTTAAGGTAGTGTGTAGTTCCATGGCGTTCAGCTGTGTAGGGTTGCTTTTAGGTCTGACTTCTCTTGTCCCTTTTAGGCTTGTAAATAAGCAATCACAAGCTGTAACGCAATCATGAAACCAACCACATACTCAATGCAATATAATTTCTATTAATCATCTCAAGGCTTTACTGAATTCTGATGTAAGCAGGAATCTTTTAGGGGAAGCAGTTTTTGTCTTTAAAAAGAAAAATCTAGATAAGGTGATCATTGGATAACTTCAGAATGCAGCCAGTTTAAAAAAAGAATCAAAAGACCCCCACACATGTAAACAATCCCATCCTGTAGACTCAAGTACTATTCTGTAAAATGTTTGCACTTATGGTTATCTAACTGTAAAGAAAAGCCTGATAACGAGAGCTCGACATCCGGTTGGTGCTACCAGAAAGCAAACGGAGATAAAGCAGGCTGAGCAATGCAGAGCTTAACTAGCTGCTGAAACTGGAGATAAAAGGCTGCTTTCCTGTACTGGGTTTGGCTGGATGGAGTTAATTTTCATCATAGTAGCTTGTATGGGGCTATGCTTCACGTTTGTGACCAAAACTGTCTGCTCCTCACCCCACCCCACCCGCGAGGAGGCTGGGAGTGCACAAGAAGCTGGGAGGGGACACAGCTGGGACAGCTGACCCCAACTGACCAAAGGGACATTCCACACCGCATAATGTCATGCTCAGCGTATAAAGCTGGGGGAAGAAGAAGGAAGGGGGGACATTCAGAATGATGCCATTTGTCTTCCCAAGTAACGGTTACCCATCATGCAGCCCTGCTTCCCTGGAGCTGGCTGAACCTCTGCCTGCCCATGGGAAGTGGTGAATGAATTCCTTGTTTTGCTCTGCTTGTGTGTGCAGCTTTTGCTTTACCTATTAAACCGTCTTTATCTCAAACCATGAGTTTTCTTACTTGTACCCTTCTGATTCTATCCCTCAGGAGGAGAGTGATGGAGCAGCTGCGTGGGGCTGAGCTGCTGGCTGGTGTAACCCACAGCAGCCCTTTTCCTTCCAAAGTGCTTTGATGTAAAACTGCAAGCTGTGGTCTCAAATGACACAGTGATTTTACTCTTTCTGATAATGGTAGATGATAATAAGGAAAAAATACAAAACATGGCAACATTTTGTATGTAAACACTTGAAATGGATTTATTTAAAAAAAATCATTTTTACAGCTGGATCATACAGTATTATTCTGTACGCCTTAAATTAAAAGCCTCCAGCTTTTAAAAATGCTGCCCAGTACAAAAGTGCTAATGTAAAACTGTAGTGTTTATATATATAAACCAGCACTACACATCACTAAATATCGCTCTAAATAGTCTCTTCACCAGTTTCAATGAGCAGAGAAGAGATGGAAGATCAAACTTTGTTGTATTTTAAGGGCTTCCTTCTTCCCCTTACAGTTCAGTCTTCAGGAGCTTCAGCGCTTTCTGCATATTTGAATACACTGGAAAGGAAATATTCATACATATTATTTTTGTTGCAACTTCCTCTTCCAGCAACTACAAATAGCGTAGAGAAAATGCCGTTATTATTAAAGCTTTTGCTCATGTGCCTATTGCTATACGGATGCTGACGCACTGCGCTCTCCCAAGCGTTTTGCGAACGTCATCTGTTTAATTGTGGCTGGTGAGAGCCCACGTCTGTTAGCGCAGGCGTTCGCAGGGCAGAGGCGGGAGCTGCGTGGCAGTGATGGAGGGCTGTAGCGTCCGACTCTTCCCTGCTCCCAGAAGTTTTCCTGACCTGGCCCGGCAGGGCTCGTGTGCAAGAGTTCCCGCCGTTGCTTACACTGAGGACTGCTGAATTATGCAAGGCCCTACTGACGTATGCTTTCTTTTAAAACAGATGGATATTTAAGGCTCCAGGGCTCTGCCATCGTTCCCTTCACCTCACTGAGTTCAAGTCTAGCGTCCTGTTTCATTTTAATCCTGGTTAACTGGCTTTCAGCAAGTACCAACTGCGAGAGTCTGCAATGCCTGGTGGTATTCCTCGTCACATGAAAAATGCAACTGCTTTCAGAATATTTCAGAACACGCTACTTACACAATGAAATGTCAGAGGGCTCGTATGCGTAGAGACGGTTTGAGTATCTTCCAGTAATATCTGCTCTCACAGTCAGGGAAGGATCTGGAAAAAAGGATGAGAAGTTGTAGAGGGCAGGACTAACCTTCAAGCAGAAGGGAAGAAACCTTTCTGCGCTTCTGCCTGCTTCCGAAATGTTTCTGCAAGACAAGTCTGCTTTCCCTAAAAAACGACAGATCGTTCTTCTACATAGTCACTGACATTTTAATTTTAAGTGTTGTCTTTGCCGGCTTATTAAGAAGGGGATAGGTTTAATTCTGATCAGTGTTGATCAGCCTTACACCCTCTTGCCACTGTGTGGTACCTGAATTCACTCTACGAGCTGAGGCTGCTTTCAGGCTACAAATGTTATTAAAAAAGAAATAACAAAGGCAGAGATAATATGGCAGTTGCTTTGGTCTGTTAAAAATGGACATCACGACCTAGATTTATCAAGGTACGTGCTAACGATACATGTGTCCAGTATATAAGGCTACGTATAGTGTTCTGGGAGAGGGAACACCTGGATGCCTGCACGGCCACCAATAGATCCCCAAAACGCCAATGCTGCTGGGGTGCCTGTGCAGGTTAGTGGAGCCCAGAGCTGAGTACTCAGCTTCCAAAATCAGCCCCTGAAGCCTCCGGGGACACTGCTCTTCCTGCGCCGTCTGAGCCTGCTACAAACAGAAACCTGACGGGTTTACAGTATTTCCAGAGACAGGAGGACGAGCGAGGCTGAGCCAGCGCCTACCCATTGTGGCATCATGTCATTTTAATGACACGATGAAAGAAATTGCATCATTCGTAGAATTAACGAGGGAGGAATGCTGGACCTGTGAAGCTAATGACCCACCTGGGGTTGCTTTGAAATTTCATCCAACAAAACCCAACTAGACATTTTATATTTCTCATGAAATAAATTCCTGTTAATAAGCCCGAGGATTTGAGATGCGCAGCGCAGCACGGCTCTGGTCTGACATCAGCTTTGATGCTTGAGGTACTCACCTATGAACAAAATCCGAGGGACATACTGGCCATCAGGTGAAAGATTCTTGTCTGTGGTTTCATACTTCAAGAAAACAGATAAGGTTCCCAGTCAAGATTGCAGGAGGGCATGTTACATTTTTTTTTTTCCTTATTTGTACTTTTTGTTATGAAATAGAGCTTAAATAATACATTTTGCAGTTTAAGAAATTCACTGTCTGGAATGCAATCTTTTAACAGCTGGAGTTGCAAATTGATAACAACAGTTAATGTTATTATTAAACTTTAAATTCCCTCGTATTTTGAGGTTGTGATAGCTACAGATGAAAGAGATATTACTAAATCTATTATGCTTCAGCACTTAGCCATTTTTCTTAGCCAACCCTAGCTATTACACTAACGATAGCTAGAGAAGCCATAACTAAAAATAGAACTTTATTGCTTTCACTTAATGAAGTGTAACTGGGAAACTTACCACAAGGTTCAGGAGAATGAATTTTTCAGCCAATTTCTGTATATCTTTATGTTCAGCAAAGACCTTCTTGAGAGCTGGAGTGAAAACAAATGGGAATGAAAGTTAAAAACATGCCCCTGAAATATATTGTCCTTGAAAAAGAAATTCAAACAAACTGGAGAGAATCAAAATGAGAATTCCCAGTTTGCAATTACAGCAAATGAAGATTTGAAGTTCATTCCACTGGAAGATGATCAAGTCATTTATATTCTGTGGTAAAAAGTCATTATAATGGTACAAAATTCCCCTCCTTCCTGCAGCTCTCAAATTATTTGCCTGCTTAAGTTTGAATTTGAGCATTTGACCCTTCAAACCTCCTACTCTACTATTGCAGTTTCTGGCTCCAGTTCCTAGGGCACTGACAAGACCGAGCGTGGGATGTCAGCCTGAAATGTTTGAAAGGATTTTAACACTTGTAGAGAGATTTCTCTGGAGTTATGGATGGAAACCAAGGTCTTGCCACGTGGATTGGCTTTGCAGGAAGAAGGGCCCCGAGGTAAATTCAGAAACACTGGGAAAAGAGCAGTCCCAGTTACCAGAAGTCCTGCAAGAGCTCAGTTTCAACCTAGTTTAATTTACTCCCTGGCCAGATTCAGTCTCAGTCATCAATGATGTTGAGAGCTGAATATGTCTTTTCCAATAAACTATTGTTTTCTACTGCTCCTGGTCTTGCTATCGGTTTTGGCTGATCGCGACCCGAACCGGAAACCAGATTTGCCACCTGCTGCCCTGTGCTCGTTTCTGTACCCATTCTGTGTCATGTCATACTCAATTACCATTTTTATTTTATTTCTGCACATTGGAAAACACCTACATGTGACAGCGACTTAAAGAACGCTCTGCCTGCTTGTGCAAGTTAGCAAGTTGGGCAGGCAGAACGATTTTTCTTATTATTTTATTTATAATTTTTTTTTAAAGCAGCATTTCTCCAGAAACCGAAAACCAGATGATTTTATTGCCCTCCGCCGGGTGCAGAAGGATTACCTTGGCTGTGCGGGCAGTCGTCCAAGTGGTGGATAATCATCAGGGGTTTGTTACTGGAAGAGAAGATTCCTCGTCAGGG